TCCCAATTCGTGCACCGTATACCTCACTCCTTGTGTTTTTCGTTCCGCGCGGGGTGTTGTTTCACGTTAGTGCATTATCATTTGAAGCCTGGCTCTTTTGGCTCAAGGAAAGCAGGTGTTCGTATTGTGGTCGAAATCACCGTCGGGACGTCCGGGGGCCGATCCGCGCGAGAGGGGCCAGAGCCGAGTCCGACTCAGACAACCACCATCCAACTCATGGAGGGGAGATTCTTCTCAGAAGATGGCGATATCTGAGACACGCCATGTATGGAATATATGATATAATATACAAACAGCCTCCCACCCCAAGGTAGGTAACTATGCCGTACGTGGAGTGTCAAAGTATAGCTATTTCGACCTCCAAATTGATCAAGAGTGGGCGCTTCCCGCTCGGACGTGTTCAACTTCTTGGGGGTAAGTGATGCATCAATGATCACAGATCATATCTCAGACAGTATGCCATATTTGCCTACATTGGGGTGGCGTGGCGGTTCATTGTAGGCAAAGGGAATATTCCATACATTTGGTGGGGGCATTTGCCCCGGCATGGTGACGGACCAAAATCACTGCGTCGAAGCCACTATCACCGCCCGAGGGACAAAAGACCGCGATCAACGGGGCGGAAGTTAAACATGACCCAAACACTCCATGTATAGATCCATGAATATACATCCCATATTTGCCGATCAGGCCAAAGGGGCCAAAGCTTGCATATGTTCTATTCATGGAGCCCTACAGGTCAAGGGCCTCTTTTGATTGGATCCGGCAATGCGAAACCAGGAGGTTGAACGCCAGGTCCGACTGGACTCGTAGGGGATGGTCAACCCCTCCGGCCGTGATTCCTCACGTCGAGCGGAGTCGTCGATGTCGTTTCAGGCTGAAGCTCCTGCACGGGCCCTGGTATCGCAAAGATGGCACCAAGATGGGAGACATTACCGAGGACTTCTTCCTTTGGGATAGCAGGTTGAAAGCGCCTTGGAGGCACCGATAGCTGGGTAGCCTGGCTGGGTAGCCCTCATGTGATGACACAGTTTTTTGGACTCGCATGGTGGCATTGGATGACGAGAACCACTGGGCGGCAGCTAAGGATTGGTCTGTCACCACTAGACTACCCGACATATGGACCTCCAACCAGGAGACCCAAACAGGACCAGTCACATAAGGCCCTACACCAGTCACCCTCGCGATCCAGCTGCCCCCCGGGAACCTCACGAACGCGGCGCCCACTCAAACGGCCATACCGCCCCGAGGGTCTCCTAGGTCACTCGGCTGGTGTTGCCAGCGGGTCTTCCAAGGCGGTGTCCCATGACCTAGGTTCGTGTCCCATCCACGGCCAACCTCGCTTGCCTCAGAACCAACTACCATGCCGAAGTCCAGTTCGACGATATTTGGACCGACTGAAGTAGATGAAATTCCTTGACTCGGGTCGCCCGTCTACACCATTCCTTGTAGAGTCCAGTCACTCCCAGTACCATGCAGGGCAGCGACTCCTGTGTCAAACCTGCACCGGCATTGCGTGCAAAGATGACTGAGCAACGACCAACCGGACACCAGTTGTCCGACACGGACGGAGTTTTTTGATCTCCGCATGTGAATCACGAAGGACACGGACTCAGCGCCTGGATTTCCATGGCTTGACACCATGAACACAAGTGGTTTCCTTGTTGCATGCAGGACCCAACATGCAGGTAGAGGAAGAAGTGGATTTGGGGGGGGAATACTTGTCCAATCCAGAAAGACGTTCTTCCAAAGACATGCAAAAGACCTAGTGGCTGAGCACCAGAAAGAACGCGCAAAGCACTGAAATGTTGCAAAAGTAGGATCACCTCATTCGGCATTCGAATGAACATGAAATACTCCGTTCTTCTGATGTCCGCAGCTAGAGCAAGTCCACGTGCCTCCGCGCGCGCGCACCTTCGTCGTACGGCCGTTCCGTTAGGGAGATACCTCGCAGTTGAATCTGTCCGACGATCTTCTTGAGATGAACATCGATGGACTGAAACACCAGGCCGGGCCGAACCTGAGGGGTCGACGTGGCGGATCGACGTGGAGCTGAAACGGGTGGGTGGTGAATTCCAGACGCAAGAATCCGCGAGGTTTCTTGATGCACAGCCACCAAAAGCAGAAAGCCACAATGACCTACTTCTCGGCCTTCATCATTCATCAACTTCTACAACTCTCGAACACCAGCAAATTGAGCGAAGATTTGCTGGGGCAGGAAATGCTGCAATGCTTAAGCAAGAATAAGCTTTTCACTGGCCGCAGGGAAGGTGCAATTCTTGGTTATTGGATGCCTTGGGTCCGTTTTGATGAACTTGGCATCGTCTCTTCCCCCCCCTCCGCGGCCTGGCAGAGCTACGCTCACCCGGCCTTCGCCGCCAAAGCGCCCGGTGGCGCAGCCCGGTGTCGCTCGGTGGAGTCTCCCCGGCCTGGACATCTCTCCAGGCAGAAGTGGTAGACTCGTACCTGGACCCTCCTGGCCAGGTGCTTCCTGGTGACAAGTCCGGTGCCCAGAAACCACCTGTGGTCGGGTCTCCAAACAGCCTGTTGGATGCGCGGATGCCCGAGACCATCAAGCTGTACGTGTCGATGCAACCTTGACGTGAACGGTGTCGATTGGTGTCCAATAGTGCTGCTGTAAAACCCGCGGTGATGATGTAGACTCTTGAGGATATTTCAGCCCCCCCCATGTTGAAAAGCTTTTAGAATCCTTGCGGCGGGTGATTCATCAAGAGTCCACATTTGGGCAGCAATGCTAGCGATGCAAGCGGCCTCGCTCGCCTCGGCAAAATACGCGGGGTCGCGTGGCGTGGCTGTCTCCGCAACGTTGGGGTGAGCTTTTTGGCCGCGGAGCGGAACTGCCACATGTCCAATGTCCAAAAAATACTGCACAAGACGCAGGCGTCCATTTTGGACCAGACCTTGTTTGGTGGCTGCTTTTCTAGAAGCACCGCCCTCAGCTCATCAACGTGTTGTGAACCCAAAGGGCGTGGACAATGCAAGCAAGGGCAACACTGCTGGTGGAGAAGCTGGAGTGGGTCTTTCCAGAGAATCTGGCCCGATGTGGCCAGGCTGCTCATCGAACCGCCAATGATTCACAAGTGGAGCTGGCTGAGCTGGCACCACTCCATGGGCAAGCCTGGGAACTTGGCTTTGGAGCATGCTCCATGTGTACTCAACACGAACCCAGTCAGTGGATCACCTTTTTGAAGGGGATGGACCCCCCCCACGAACCTCAGGAGGTCGAAGGGGGGCGCTCTCGGCGTCGCGCTTGACCGCGGTGGTCGCGGTCGCGGTGCGCCAAAAAGGAGGTTCAGAGAGGTCTGTGCAAACTCCTCACCGACGCGTGAAAAACAACGTGGGCTGGCTCCCCAAGTTGGCTCCAGGATCAGGCTTGAGAGCACACTACAAGAGTGACCATCTCCTTCAAGTGGTGTTGCCCCCTTTTTTCCCCCAAGCCCCATGACATGGAAACAGCTGCCAAGAACCCTGAAGCCATTCCGATTGATCTATTTCTTGAATCATCCATTTCCACGACCTAAACGCGTGGGAGCGTTTCAGTACGTGCCTCTCTTTAGGCTGGGTCAAAGCCATTTGACACCCGACGTTTTTCACAGAGGTCCACCAGGCGTGCAGGTCCACTCGCCAGGCCGTGGTCAGTCTACATGCCCAAGCGACTCTGACTTGGTGGGATGGAGATGTTTGGATTCTCAAATGAGAATGCCGTCAAAGGGTGCAGTGTCAACTCATGTGTCAACTCCACACGTGGAGCGTTCGTTGTTGGGGCGATGGATTTGCCCTCCGCACCAGCAAATCTTCCGAGCCGGGACGGATTCCCGGGCTGGAACGCGGGTGTTTTCTCTTAGCGTGCCAAGTGGAGGAATGCACAAATGAAATCTTCCAGAAGGGGACCACCGTCTACCAACCCCCATGTGGGAGGCCCCACGTATTTTTGCAGACCCGGCTCATCGCTCTCCAGGGCTATTTTCTGTGATTGGAGACAGGCGCAGGAAGATTCAGATAGCTTCCGCCACTGAAGCATGCTTATAGATCCTTTAGCATGCAGATAGGTTCAGGTACTCGGAGGTGCCAATAGCTTTAGATCCTTTAGCATCCTTCAGCACTGCCGCGTTTTTTTGCGCCGGACAAAATCGCTGCTGCGAGCTGCTGCTCGGGAGGTCTTCCGTTGCTTGGTCCGAGCAATTGTTCTTCCAAGAGCCTCACTGAAACCTGGACCCCCAGCAACCACCAAAACAACACAGAAGCGACAGAGAAGCGACATCTGAGTCTATCCAGTGGAGCCTGAAATCCTCATAGAATCTTGTGTGTTCCTCCTACTCGGTTCCACTGGCATCTTGGAGTTCTTTGGGGTGGAGATTTTGTTGGAAAAGGTCCATCAACCCTCCCCAACCTTCACACCACACTCACTCCAATCGCTCACGGCACATGGAAGCGAAGTTCACCTCTTAGATCCTTCATGATCCTTCCAAATGGTCTATATCTCCAACAGAGGTAGCCAGTGACCTGAACTAGGACCCGTCACCTGAGGGCACCTAGTTCGGATAGTCGCACGTTCGGGTTCTTCAACCTTTCCCAGGCACTCCATGTATGCCATATATGCCTACATTGACCCCCAAAACCACCCCAATGTAGGCATATATGACAGACATGGAGTGTCTGGGTTTGGATTGCAAGTGCTCATCTTTCACTTCCATGTGATGTGTGCAGTCCACGTCCTCTTTCGTCCCTCTCGGGTACACTCACGATGTGCCACGGCGTCGTCCCGCGACTCTGGTCCAAGGAACGACGGGTCTCGGTGCGTTACTTGGAAAACATCCGGAGTTCGACTCAGACCCTCCAAAGACCTCCTTCACCCCGAACCTTACGGTGTCGGCCTTGAACCGAACCTTCCAAAGAAGGCAGTGCCGAGGTTCCGACGGCGAGGGCGACGCGGCCCCAACCACCGAACCTCCGGTCCGGCGGAACCGGTGTCCCGCCAGGTGGCCGGGAAGGCGGTCATGGCCGGGAGACTCGGGAGATGGGCCAGGGGGTCACCCGTTGAAACACGGTGGTGAAGGCGAAGGAGAAGATGAAGGTGTTTAGGTGGATGTTCTGGGCACCCCTAACCCCTTTGTGACTGCTGGTAGGTGGTTTTTGTTCTATAAACTTACAGTTTCATTCATGTGCAGCTGCTGGAAAACGCCAGATCCTCAACCCGAAGCGTCCACAAGATCCTCAACCCCAATCTGCTCTCAGTCGTCAGCTGCGACAGTCGTCAGATCCGTTTTGGATCGCAGACTCAGATCTCCGCTCAGGATATGACCAATGGAGTGCTCCCTGGCGTGGTCCGGGCACCCTCAGGGTTGTTGGGCAGCCCGCCGCAGGTTCCGCAGGCTCCGCGCCCCGCATCGGTGCGCTGTTTTGTTGCGCCGTGTTCGGTGCCGCTCCCATGCGCGTTTTGGAGGTCGGTTCCTGGTTCGGTGGAACGAACGTGTTCGGGTCGAGTTGCTGACCGGCGGGACGACCCTGTGCAGTTGACCTTGATTGGGATGGGCAAACCCTCCAAACACGAACAGGTGAAAAGAGGATGAAGAAAGGTGTGTTTTGCAGGACTGAGGGGGTCAGTATTGCTGGTGAGGTTTGAAGTCCTCCCAAGTTTGCCACTTCAGGTCGAGTTTTTGAGGCAATTTCTCCAATGTAAATCCCATGTGGAGTATTGTCCCCAAGGGACCACACATCTCGATGATTTACAGGACAGGAGTCTTTTGTTGCTTTTTTGGCCCTCGCATGGAGTGCAGGACCATGTGCAGCTTTTCTCAGCCAGAGTCTGGTTGTCTTTGCCTTTTTGACTCCTTTTCCGAAGGTTCTCCATGTATGTTCCCATGTGGTTAACTGTGTTTTGTGGTTAACTGTGTTTGCGAATCAGGTCATCACCAAGCTAGAATTTCTGCAAACAAGAGCCCTGCCCCCTATGGGATATCCAGAGCATGGTGGGCCGCCCTTGCTGACGTTTCTTTGGCTCCAAAGAGAGGTGGCATGGAAAGATAGGTGGCTCGGAAAGGCAGTCAGCAAGTTCAAGGGTCCTGTGCTGCTGATGTTGAGTTGAATTGTGGTGCACACACCTGGCGCGGAACTTGGCAGTCAGCTCAGGTCACCCATGCAAGCAGAAGATGTGAACGTTGAGTGGCCTTCCATGCTATAGGGTTTACCTTATTGTCGAAGAGAACCCTTCTCCAATGCTGCAACTAAACCGGCCCACATGTTTAGAAGGTGAGATGTTTGTGTCGGGTACTGGTACCGCTTGGCTCGATGTATCGGTTTCTCACGGAACGACCCTTCTACTTCGAAGGTAGGTCGAGCTAGCCGAGGGGCGCATCGTCAGCGAGAGGGGCTGACTGTAGCCACGCGTAGGCGTAGTCAGACCCATGGCGGGCCCCAAAGCACCGGCGGAAGTGCAATTGGCACAGTTGGATGAGGTGGGTCCCTGTGGCCTGATGAAACGTTGCATGGCAAGTTTGGAAGATCATTCATGTTTACCAGTGGTGAGCTGGGGTAATTATGTTGACAAGATGTTGGTGAACATGTTTGAGTTGTAGTTAGGGTTTCATATGCTTTCCATTGGTTCCCGGAACCAGCGCCAATCGTTTGGGAGCTGATGATTTTGTCTTCGAAGAGTTCTTTTCAGCCCAACGGCTGACGGTGTTTGCCCAGGCACGACATGTTTGGGGCTCCCCTTTCGCATCAAGATGCATCCAAAGAAACCATCCCACATGCAGGTGTCCCAACGAACCACATGCTGAAACATTCAGGGCTTTGTCGGATAGGGAGTGAAACAGATCATGACTCATGCTACATTCTAGTGACCAGCCCCTCCCCTACTTTCCCAGATTCCGTTCCGGCTCCTGACTTCGTTCTTCACTGCCTCTTCTACTATGTGCTCGACATAGAGCGCGAGGCCTTTGGACCTCACTACTTCCAACATGGTCGACTCATCTTCACCGTCGCAGCGTCCTCAAGGACCGTGGGGTTTCGTCCTCAAGGACGTCCACGACTCGTTTGCCAGGAAAGAAAACGACTCGTTTGATACAATGATACGCATGCATGTTCCTGGCCTGGGTACTGGATGCTACTGGTGGATGATGAGCTGGAGTAGAAACATGTAGGACCAAAGTTTATCAAGTCCCGGAAGTTCTAGGGGCTTCTCTATTATACCCGTCCGAGGTGGCTGGAAGACAAGGGAGGAGTGAATCGAAGCAGTGTTTTCAAACCGGATCGTTGGAGCTCCTTCAGGAGGGTCGCACCTTGACACCCTGGCTGACCATCACTAATAGACGATCGGGGAGGTCAACTAATATACTTACGCTCCCTAGAACTAACATGGAAGCGGAGCATGGCCCCGTAAGGAAGACCATGTTCCATTACAAACAGGTATTTTTTCCACTTCCATTTTAGTTCGAAGGAGAGTATCCGAAACTTTCACTTAACTGGCCTGTTTTGGACCAGGGAGGAGTTGGACCGTCACGTTGAATACGCCTGGTTCTTCCAAGTGACCTGACCTGATTTAGTGGTTTAAGGTCACTTATTCGGCCTATGAAGGGTCACCAACCCAAAACTCCACGCAGGTCACGCAACTGAAGAAGCTGATCAAGTTTTCTTCGTGCCAAGTCTCTAATGACTGACCTCTAAGGTTCTCATCACCATCACCCAAACCAAGCCACATGACTGATGATGTTCATCTCAAAGCTTATCCCAAGAAGTCCAAATAAGTCTATACATTCCCCACTGGAAGTTCCACTTCGGATCATCAAAAGACCATTCTTTTTGATCGTCGACTGGACTCCCAGGGTCTTGTTGTGGCGACAAGGTGACCCTGCCCCAACCTTCTGGTCATGTTTGCGGGTGTTGAGGCTTCTTTTTCGCCCAAGTGCGCAACTGTCTCCTTCGCTTGCCATGAGGGAGTCCTTCTCTTCCATCACAAAATGGCATGTCTTCCATTTCTCCCACCAAACCCCCGGCGCCGCCGGCCTTGTTCGCCCCACCGAACGCGCCCGAGGCGCGCGACATCCCGGGGATGATGAAAGTCGCCCACCGGCTCCAGTGCCTCGGTAGAAGCCGAAGCCTAGCCCTGGGAGTCAAAGACTACCTGGACCCTCTGAGGGGTGCCCAATGAAAGCCTATATAGGTAGTGTGGGGTAGTTCCTTGGACACCCCGACAGGAGGGTCCTGGTATAAAACGAATGGTCTGACGAACGGGGACCTGATTTCGGAAACCTCCTGAACACTTCCGCCGGTCAAGACATATCGTCGAACTGGATCTTCGTTCGGGCTAGAGCTTCAAGTACCTTCCGTTTCGTTTCGGTGTTTGGGGTGGGTGCCAGGGTCCAGTCACACCGGCACTTGGTACGACTGGAGCCCTAGGAGGCACCTCAGAGGCACCTTCTGAGGAGGTACCTTCCGTTTCGTTTCGGTGAGACTGGAGACTGGGGGCGCGGGTGCCAGGAGGGTCCACACCTGAGGAGGTACGACTGGAGCCCGGATGGAGGAAATCATGATGGACGGTAGCGCCGGGAAGCCGCTTTATCTATTTCATGGTCGGTGTGGTTGTTTTCATGAGAGAAAAGAAACGCTGCCTCAGATTCCTTGGGCGCTTTCCCTTGTCATCTCGGTATTTGACCAGAAATCTTATGGCCTCCCCCTAGTAGCGATGGCCTCCAACCTACTAGCAAGGGCCTCCAACCTAATACCGATGAGTTTGTTTCAAGCAACGATAGAAATCGCTTTTTCCCCAGATTCCTGGGCGCCAAGGCAGAGGACCCACGAGAAGCTAGGCCAGGCCACTGGATGAAGTCGGCCGACTGGGCGGAACCCGAGCGTCGCCATCGGCCGAAGCTCCGTCCATCGTGGCGTGGGATCCGCAGCATGTGTGCCATATCCCAGACACTCCATGGGACTGCCATATATGCCGATCAATTGACCCCCATGGCACCACCCCAATTGATCGGCATATATATGGCAGTCCCATGGAGTGTTTGGGTATATGCCTACGTTTGAGGGGTCAATGGGGCAGCATATATGGCACACATGGATGTCCACCAGTGACGTTTAGGCTACAAGATCCGGACACCCCGACGTTCACCGCGAGGTTCAGGTGGAACGACGTCCCCCCGGCAGGAACGCCGTGGTTTTTGGGCGGAGTGGCGCCTGAAAACCGAGAAATCGGAGGAAACCATCCAATCCCTGACACTCCATGGAATAGTTACCAACATTTGGGTCATCAATATAGCGTAAGTTTTGCAACTCTTCCACACATGGAGTGTTTGAGAATGGGTTGCTATAAAGTCCGTGAAAAAGACTTGTTGAAGCCTTCACAATGAATGCAGTGTTCCATCATCGCGTGGAAAATGTTCACAGAACCACCCCAAAAAAAGACACACACACACACACACAGAAACCAGGTCCAACAAAAGGATCATGGCTGGCTTTACATGTAACAAACAAACCATGCATTGTCACCCTGTTCATCCCACCCACTCCCGGGACACGCGCGAATCTAGAAGCACGAGAGCTGCGGGTATGTAAGCCAGATGCGAATGCGTCATCGGTGGTGCCCAAAAACCCACGACGCCCGCCAAACGCCATCGAACGCACAGGATCAATGGTCGAGATCATTTTGGAACATGTGCCTTCGGCAGCAACGAGTGGACGTGGGCGTTACCTCCAAAAAAATGCAGACGCGTAATTGGTCCGGTGGGCTATTATTTATGTGGTTTCTGGTGAAACCACACATGTTTCCATGCGTGATTGTGTGAGCTGGGAAGTAAGTGCTAATGTGATTTTTGAACGCTTGGAAGTGAACCTTTCAAAAGATTGTCTCTTTGATGCTGCCTCTATGCACCAAAGCGGCGTGTGGAGTGCTTGACCCATACTGCCTCACAAAAGAAAGGCTCTACCTCCTGCCAGTTTGAGTCCAAAAGCGAACAGCTGCAGGTGAAGCATGAGCTGTGGCTGAAGCTGCACGAAACGACGAACAGCTGCAGCCTCCACAAAGGTCCAGAGGCCCGGAGCGCACTCGGCGAGTCGGAGCACCAGAGATGCCGTAGACCTGGACCTTCAGGTGTCCTGGAGGTCCCTGATGGCTGGGACTTCCAGCCACCCCGACAGGAAGGTCCTGGTAGTTCTTGTCAGTGGCTCTTGAAGAAGCTCCTCTCTTTGAACACTGAGACTTCTTTCTCAAAGCTGCGCACTCTCGCGTTTCTTGCCTGTGTAGCTCTTTCCGCGTCCGGTTGACGAGACCTCGACCTGTGGTCCCAGGTGGCGGAGTATCAGGTCACCGAGATCCCCGAAG